GTTTCTATTTTTGAACACACGTGTCCTTTATTTTGTACATCAGGAAGGGGGGCTAGGGCAGGGTCAGTGGAAGGCGGTGAGGGAGGAAGGGGGTACGAGCCCCCGATGGGGAGGACTGGGCTGGCTCTGCGGGCTTCTGGGGGTGGAAGCTCTCCTGCAGCCTCCCGATTGCCCCCTCTCCCCAGATGGCAGCCTGCGGCAAGTGCAGCCGGGCTGATGGCCGAGTGCTGTGATGTGCCCAGTGTGGGTACTCCGGGCAATCCAAGCCAGGACTGCTTTGCAAGAGGGACACCCCTGAGAACTGTCTGTCCGGGGTGGGGGTCGGGTCCCTTTAAGCACAGCCCTCGGCTAGCCTGAGACAGCATCTCAACGCTCTAAGTCCTCATCTGATGCCCTGCCGGCACTGCTTCTGGCCATCCTTACCCCCTGTTCAGGGTCCACTTAATGTGGACATGCTAGTTTGAATTAGCAAAACGCTAATTCAAACTAGTTTTTTAGTCTGGATGTGTTAGTTTGAATTAGCTTAGTTCGAATTAACTAATTCGAACTAAGTTAGTTCAAATTAGTGCTGTAGTGTAGACATACCCCTGCATAGTATCTGACTTTTAGGTATCCCCTCTTGTTCTAGTCCTCTTCATTTCAGGCACATAAGCACAATAGAGTGTAGAAATTTGCCATTCCAGCCCTGCTTTTTGAGAAGGCAACCCTTGCATATATCTAAATTGATTATAGTCTCACTGCTTCTTGTTGCAAAAGTGTATTTGTGTAGAAGCCTGAAACTTCCCTGTTGTAGTAGGGTGATATGAAGTTATGAGGGATGAATCTGTGTAGAAAATAAAGGAGATGTTGGTTTATTCTCCCTTAATTTGTGCTAATGTATTTCTCTTTGCTCCTGTACTGTTGTATTTGTGCACTATTGTACTATGCACAAACCTAGTTAAGTGTAAAGTATGGCAGAATACTTTATTTACTTGGTCCCATAATATAAGAACGAGGGGCCACCAAATGAAATTAATGGGTAGCAGGTTTAAAACAAACAAAAGGAAGTTCTTCTTTACACAGCGCATAGTCAACCTGTGGAACTCCTTGCCTGAGGAGGTTGTGGAGGCTAAGACTATAACAGGGTTTAAAAGAGAACTAGATACATTCATGGACGTTAAGTCCATTAATGGCTATTAGCCAGTATGGGTAAGGAATGGTGTCCCTAGCTTCTGTTTGTCAGAGGATGGAGATGGATGGCAGGAGAGAGATCGCTTGATCGTTACCTGTTCACTCCCTCTGGGGCACCTGGCATTGGCCAGTGTCAGCAGACAGGATATTGGGCTGGATGGACCTTTGGTCTGACCCAGTATGGCCATTTTGTTCTTAGAATACTTCAGAGGATTAGTCTAGAACTGAATTCTAAACACATTTTTGACACTTCGGAACATATATTGTGCTGACTACAAAATAAGGTGGTCCTCCTCTTTTCCCCCCACCCCCCTCGAATGTGCAGAGTTTTATGGTTAATAGTTTCTTTGCCTAAGATTGATGACAATGATTAAGATTACCTATCCATCTGTGTGGCACTCTTCCTTCTTCTATGAATGGTAGCATCTCCTGTATTTGCCATTTAATATGGTAATCTGTGACCCCAGCTAAATTCCCTCTAAGCTGCATGTCTGAGCAGCTGCCTATTAAGCCCCATACAGAGGCTCAAGGAAGTTACTCAATTAATTTACGTCTGTTTCAGCTCTGTAGCCATTCAAAAACTCGCCCCCTCACCCTAGTCTTCCCTTATTTAGATCTTGATCTCTGAACAAGCAAACCCTTGTTCAGACAGGGTGGGTCTAATGGGCAGTACAGCCATATGCCAGTGCAGACCACTGCCTCCTAGTAGTGGCGGCGCCAAGTTCTTCTCCTTTGGCACTGCATCTTCCAAAAGTAGAGCCCCGTGGATCAGCCGATACAAAGTTGTATCCACATAGAGCTTTGTGAATTTAAACTGATGGTTATATAGGTATAAGCCCCCTGTTGGACACTTACTTCAACATGAGACCTCTTTCAGCTTAGTGTCCATTTCTTTGGAACTTGGTAAAGCTAAAATGAAAAAAGCCATTCTTATTCCAAAATAAGTGTTGATACAGAATATTATACCAGGGTAACTAGATTGGTGAAGCAAAAGGCAAGGCCTTATATCTGAAGTCAGTTTGCAGTCTTGCAATCTACTAACTTTTTACCCATTTTTCCTTTACAAAAGGAACAGCACTAGCATGCGAACGTGACATGCAGTATCTTCAGAGGATGAAGTCTAAGTGGATGCTGAAGACAGGCATGAGTAACAATGCGACAAAGCAGATGCATTTCCGGATGCAAGTCAGATTCTGAGCTGCCTCATCCGCTGTACAGAGCTTGCTCCTGTAGAGGAGAAATAATAGCTAGTGCCTTTGGGGGTGGGAGGTATCTGTCATTAAAATAGAACTTGCTATCTGCCTATCAGCTCCTTGGATGCTACTATTCCTTCTCCTCCTGATAAGTCTTGTGAAGAGCTCTTGTATTCTAATAACTGTTGGCACACCAAATTTGTGTCCAAATAAAGTATGTGGTGTGGGTTAGTCACTGATGTAGATCGTGTGCATTGTACTAGTATCCGTCTTTATGCAGTAGGTGTTGATTAAACAGCTCAATTTTTGGTTCTTTAGCTCAATTACAGAAAACCGAGGCAGGGAAAGGGGGATGAGAGTGGAAGGGAGACTAGGAGAAGATTCTGATTATAAGCCTCAGAGCTCTGAAGTAAGATTGAGGCATGGGCCTCTGCCCTTCTGGAGTAATGTAGAAAAATTGTATAAAATAAAAGTAGGAGAGAGCACTTTCCAGATGTTACACACTTTTTCTGTATATCAAACAATTATGTAAGAGGCACTGGGACAGGAGTGGATCTTTCATTGAGTAAATTAAAGAGAGCGTCTCAGAATAAATTGTCTGTCACTCATCATGTGCTAGCAATTTAATTGGTTTTGTTCAGCTTCTGTAAAAATTTCAGTGCTAGTTTGAAGTAACAATCAAAAAAGAAATAGTTTTGTTCTAAAATCATAATTCCAATGGTTTCTATCCTGGTACATTGTGCCACGCCCTCTTCACTTTTTAGGAGTTTCATTGTAATATTTTTAGTAAACCCAACTATCTGCATTTAACTTCAGTGCAATATATTGCATACAAATGTATGGTTTTGAATAATTATTAAAACCAAAGCATATAGTTGTAGACATTGTTATTTTGCTAACAATGTTTTGATATCATTTCATCTAGCTGCTGTTAGACTCGTGACCATTATCACCTTAGTATGTAAGCACCAGCCATGAATGCAAATGGTAAAACGTATGCTGTTTTGAAACCTGTACATTATTTAATGAAGTTTTGATATTTAGTCTGTACTGTAAGAAAGTTACAAATGTTCCTGTTTTCAATAAGCAGTAATTATCAAATACTATACTAACTTGGCCACTTACATAAGTAATTTTTTTCCAATCTGACTGTGGACATTGTTACTCATGAAAAAGGGAACCAGTTATACTCATATATGTTTGACTCAGTATGACCTAACTTTAACTGGTCAAGGATGGTCAAATTGTTATTTTTATTATTTATTATCCAAACACTAACCTTGCTAGTTTAAACATTTTTGAACTAACAATTCACGTGCCACGGACAGCCGACGGAGGGTGCAGCAACCCCCCACTCATCATTGTTCTCCTTTGTACCACTAAGACTAAATGGGGGGGCATAGTGGTTTGTCCCCCAAAAGAAGCATTGGAGAGGAAACAAGGGTTTAAGAAAGTGTTGAAAGTGTTATTTTCCAGCTATTGCTGAGGCAGTGCCTGCAGTCCTTGAAGCAAATAAAATGTCTGTATAGGGGAGTTTTGCCCTATTAGCGTAGCACTGTTGAGCACAAGGAGTCTATCACAAACAAGGGACCATTTGTGTTTGCTTAAGCTCACGCACATAGTAAATGACTCCAAGGGGATCTGCTAGTTTTAAGCCATTTTATAACCTACTGTCTAATCACTATGGAGGAACTATCAGGCAGAGGAAACCTTTTGGTGGCCACTGATATAGATGGAGCTCAGGTTCAGCTATGTAGTGCTTCAAAGCTATTCTGATTCTGTGCACAGTAGGTTCATAGAATCACAGGTTGGTAGAGACCTCACGAGTTTACTGATTCCAACCCCCTGCCCAAAGTTGTTAAGTGTAATTGCTGATTGTAAATCATGTATCTGGGTGCACTCTTAACATGTGCATTGGTTTAAAGCTTCATTAAGCCTTAGGAAACAGTTTTCTTACCAGGGGCTTAAAGTATGTAAGTAGCTATTTTCCAAGATTGTAGGCATGAGTAGTGGTGGGGATACTTGTGCTCTTTTTCCTGCAATCCTCACTGACCCTCAGCACAACACTCACATGACCCATCTTCTCCACTCTGGATCTTACTTTACCAGAGCGATTGGAATCAGAAGAAAATGCTAGTTGGAAGGGAGCATGTGTTCCTAGCAGTCAAAGGGAAATTCAGAGGTCTGGGAATAATGCAGAGGGGAGGTAGACTAGCCAGCAGTAGTGAGTATATTTAAGTGGGATGGTGGGGAAGAAGGGATTTCTGGAATGGTTAATGAAGTGGAGGATTTATTTTAATAGGGGGAGCAAGTAACAGCTGGGAGAAGAGGCTTTCAGAAATGAAGATGGAAGAGTAAGTGTCCTGTACCCGAGGAAGCTAGTTAAAAAAAGCCTAGCATTGAAAGGAAGGAGATTAAAATCCCTAGCTTGAGGTTGGCACTCACACTGTGGAGGAAGACATGCTGCTTCTTCAAGTGATGGCTCATGTGCATTCCAATAATGGTGCCCTTGTGAAAATGACAACTCAACAAGTACAGCAGACAGATGCAGGAAGTGTGAGAGAAGATTGGTGGGGCTGATGGCTTAATAAAGATTAAAAGGAGCAATTGAATATAGAAGAAATTACAGTGCACCTTTGAAGTATCCGGGGAAAATCTCAGGTTGCTTACCATAAGTGTGCATATTCCTCTCCTCTTTGATGGGGGTGTGAACTGAGCTATACATTGCTATGGTTTGGGATTTTGATCAAGGTGAGATGGTCCTGGGCTGGGGATTATTTTGTCTGTAGTCACGTTGTTATTGGTTCTGGTCAGCCTGCATGTAACTGCAGCTAGTATGTCGCAGATGGTGTGACTGCTGGGGAAATGTAGGACTGGCAGCAGGCTGTGACTTGTCACAGCAGCACAGTGCTAAGAGGGAGTTCAGGCCAGTGAGTCAGAGGGCTGATACCCCAGTTCCAGCCAGCACTTCAAAGCTGAGTTCCACCGACGAGTTACATGAATACAACACTATAGTGGTATGAATCAAATATCTCAGCAAGCACTACAATGTAAAGGGCTCAGCCTAGCAGGAATTCGGAAAGAGACACGTGTCTGCATGTCATGTAAGTTATACCTTTCTTGTGCCTGTTCTTATGAATTTGAGGATTTCAAGAGGTCTTCTGAGTAGTTATGTAACTTAAGTCACATAGGTTGCTCATTTAAAATTAATGAATCCTAAAAGCTTTTAAAAGTGCAAAGGACAAAGAGCAAAACCCTGCCACATTTCATAGTGACTTAGAGGCAAGCAAAGCAAATTAGCACTTAAAAAATAGTTTGGTGGTAATGAGAGTTATCTCTTTTTTCACTCTGCCTTCTTAATGAGCGATAAAACCAGTAATTAAAGCATGCCTGGAAAAATCCAGATACGGTTTGCCAAATTAGAGGACATCGTCACTAATCAATTCTGCAGCCAGGCAGCAGACTTGGATTTAAACCAAAGTCAGTCAGCAAGTACAATGTTAAATTTAGAACTGAAGCATCATAAGGTAGCACAGTTGCATGAAGCAATAAAATTGATGCCAGTCCAGCCACTCTGATCCAATGCAATTGCTCTGAATTGCAAAGTACGTAAAATAGCTACCAACCTTGACCTTATATTTGTGGCCTTTTCAGCAAAGCTATTCAGTGTTTGCAGTACACGTTGACTTGAAACCTTCACTGCTGTAATGGCTTGTCCACGTCTGCCTCCAACCCCATCCTCACAATTCTGTCTTGCCTGACTAGCAGGTTGCATTGGTCTGGTCATATACCTGAGCCCCCCCCGCCTCAACCTTCCACCCATTTGTTCTGAACCCTCACTCCACCACACCCCAACCTCCTTCTCTGAGCCCCCCTGTCCTCAAGCATCCCCCATGTCCTGCCCCTCCCTTCTCCCAGAAGGATCTGAGCAATGTCGGGTAAACTGTCTAGTAACTAATATAAAACATTTAAATGGACAAAATTCCAACTATTTGGACAGCTATTGCTAGCAGCTAAGGTAGTAAATGATTTGGTGAGAAGTGAAAAAAAAATCCCCAAATTATTCATTAAAGCAGTTTATTAGCACATTAATGAAATGCAAATAATTCTATTTTGGTCAGCTTCTTAAATGTTTATTAGCAAGTTCAAGCAATCCTGTGTCTTTGTGAACATTGGGGGGGGGCAACTGCGAGATGAAGAGTTTGATTAATATATTATAACTAGCCAATTAGCCTGTCATAAGATGGGATTTTCAGGTCTCTCCTCCATGTTGGTTTTCTCTCCTGAGCCTCCAGTCTCACTCCATCTCCGTCTCTCCTCCTCCTGCCTCTCCCTCCCTCTCCCCCCCCAGCAGCTCTCCTCTGCGTTCTGCCTCTCTCTCCGTCTCCCTCTCTCTCTCTCCTGCCTCCCGCTCTCCTCTGTCTCCGTTGGGGATGCACGCTTGTCCAGGCCCTGCCCCCTGAGCATGTACATCACCGCCCCACCCCTCTGTCGCCTCCCGCCGTGGTGCTCAGCTGACTTCTGCGCTGCTCAGCTGGGCAGCCACACGGGAGCAAACAGCCTCTCTCTCTCTCTTCTCCTCCTACTGCCTCGCCCTCTCTCTCTCTCTCAGCTCTCATCCGCCTCCTGCCTCTCTCTCCGACTCTCTCTCTTCTCCCCCTCCCACCTCTCTCGCTCTGTTTCTCTTCTCCTCCTGCTGTGTCTCTCTCACTCTCCTCCGACTCTTCCATTCTCCTCTCTGTCTCCTCCGCATCCTCTGTGTCTGCTCCGCTTTCCTCCTTTTGAATCTGGTGCCCTTTCCTGCCATCAGAGACGCACGCTCATCCAGGCACCGTCCCCTGGCTGTTCCTGCAGTCTTCTCAATGAGTAAAGAGCCCCTGTGGATCTTAAGACTGTATCACAATGTGTACAGAGACACTAGCTGGGCAGAGGAACTTTTAGAATAATAACTTATTAGGCAAGGTATTTTAAAATGAATAACTCCATTATTTACTCAGGGGCTATGTCTACACGGCAAGCTGCTTGCGCAAGAACTGTTTTGTGCAAGAGTTCTTGGGCAAAAAGTCTTGTGCAAGAGCACATCCGCACTGCCATGTGCTTTTGTACAAGAGATGTGCTTTTGCGCAAGAGCGTCCATGACAAGTGTGGATGCTCTCTTGCACAAGAAAGCTTTGCTAGCCATTTTAGCCATAGTTGCCCGTCCGTACTGCCGCCTTGTGCAAGAGCTCTTGCGCAAGAGGGCTTATTCCTCATGGGGAGAGGAATAACTCTTGTGCAAGAAGCCCTCTTTTCTAATGCTTTACTGTAAATATACTTGTGCAAGAACACACATGCAGTATAGATGCTCTGCAAGTTTTTGTGCAAGAACACCTGTTCTTGCGCAAAAAGCCTGGAGTGTAGATGTAGCCTAAGATTGCATGCAGTATGTATGCTTTGCAGTTTATGTGGAATTGTGGTGTTTCTCAGTGTCATACTGAATGTAAGAAACAACGGCTTTGAAATGTGTGCAAATTGTAGTTAATTTTTACTCTCTTTAACGTTCCTGCTTTGCCTTATTTCTTGGACAATCTGCAAATGTTCCTAGTGTAATGTAT